GAACTTTTCTACTAACAACATCAGATGTAAAACTTGAAGATGTGTTGTAACCCCTACTTCCCCCCCACACACACACAACTGAGGCTAAATAATATCCTAACCATAATACACATAACAAATCTGTACACTTAAGACAAAGATAATTCAGTACGCAGTAGGCCTTGCATTTATCATCCCCCTCTTGCCCTTAATTAAAGGTAAAATGGTTTTTATTATGCTACTGCTTAATTGTTTTAAAGACAGTTTATGTTTTTAAAGCAGTTTAATGCATCATTTCTGATTCTTTACCATGATTCCGGGTGCAGCTGAGCGGGGTGAACTGATCATCTTAGACTTGATCTGGGACTTCTGGACGACGATGACGTTGGTTTTACCAGGCATCATCGAATTGGGCTTGGTAACAACAACTGGTGTGAGACAAAATAAGACATTTTACACATATTTGTGGCTTACACCCAGTAAATAAGATTGATTGATCGATCTGTATTGAAAAACAAGTCAGAAAAAATAATAATAATAATAAGAATAATAATAATAATAATAGCCTAATAAGTCCACTCCAAATTTTATTAAACCGAAACGGAAATTCTTTTTGCCCAATTGATCGTGAGCCCGGCAGCCACTGAGCAGCGCCAGATCGACGTTGCTCTATCCCTTATTGTTGAACCAGCAGGACTTGAACCTGCATCTACTGCTTGCCGGGCAGCGACTCTACCACCAGGCCATTTTAAATAATTTAAATAAAATAAGACATGTACCAAGGAAGTTTTGTGAAGAATGAAAGTGATTCGTTTAGACAAAACTGTACCATTGTTCAAGATTTATAAACATTATTAACTGAAAAATAATGAAATGTAGGCTACCAGTTTTCTTAGCAATATCATTACCATTCTCATCACTAAAAACATCATCATCATCATCATCATCATCTTCACCTGAAAGTGTTTGGTGTGTTGAAATTTATTCCAGCATCTAGGCTGTATTTTGTAAAAGATATATACTGTAGGGTGAGGGTAGTAATTGGGTTTTGTGTTCAGCTTAGGTTTATGATTTATAGGGTCAGATATATTAATAATAATAATTATAATGAAGATAATAATAATATTAATAATGATAATAATGATAATGTGATGATGATAGTTGATTCTATTCCAGTTACAACTAACCAACCAACGTATCATTATCCCATTCGCTAAATCCATTTACAATTCCACACATTACAGTGCACATTCTCCACTCCCCTATGGAGCATTACAGCTAGTTGCCTGTTTACAAGCGCACACAGGCGAACCAATGACAATAATATTCGCATTCTAACGGGTATCATCAAAATGATAAGAAGTTTGGCCCAGTCTTCGTAAAGTTACAAGCACTGTACACAGAAAGATGTATATGGGACTACATGAACATGTGGCATAAAAATCTGTCCCAATTTTTATGCTGTTACATGTCATATTTAGAATATCAAGGCATTTGAAGAGTAATGATTTTCAAGGAACATTTTTTATCTGATGTTCTTCTACACCTGCTTTATAACAGTGATAACGCTCATAAATTAATTTTTCACCTCTTCCCAGAACTAAACCTTCTCTTTAAATCCCTTGACTTTGACACCTCTGTATAGGTATAGTATGTGGGCCATGATAAAGGGCACCCGTTCTTACCGGTGGCTGTATTCTTGCCTGTTGTCTTCTGTAGAGACATGGGCGACAGCGTGATGACGTTACTAGTGCTACACTGGGGGCGACCTCCCATCTGACTGGGTACCGTCACGATCCGTGGACCAGGTGATGTCACAATATTCCTAGCTCCTAGACCTAAGCTTGTGGACTGGGACCCTGTAGTACATGAGACGGTTTACAATGCACAATACATTTTGTTTCTTTTTTTATTTTATTTTTTAAATATTTTTAATTATTTATTTATTATTATTATATTTTTCATTTATTTATTAATTTTTTTTTTTGTGGGGGGGGGGGGGGTAAATCTTCTATCTGATGGTCTTTAGGGATAATTTGTGGGTAATGAATAATACTAAACCCTGATAGAACGAATTAAGTAGGAAAATTTGATATTTTTATTTCATCATCAAAGCAGGATGACTAAAGACACAGTCTGCACTAGGTGAGGGTCAGTTCTATATTTAAAGGATAATTGGATACTTTTTTTCAAGGGGTTGAATGTCTATTTATTTTTTAAACTGGTAAATTAATGATACATACACATTTCTATTAGAAACAGTTTTTTAAGAGCAGGGGGGTGTTTCACAAAGACTATGATCGACTTTAAGTTGGACATAACTATGACAGGCCATTCATGCCACTGGTTGCTCTCACTATTGGTCTCTCAATTACGAACTTTAGATATTTTTTCCTTCAACTATAAAAAAAATCAAATTCCGTAGATTTGTGACGATTTATACCTCCATTCAGAGACCAATGCCAGTAAATGGTAAGAGCAAACAGTGGCATGAACGGCCTGCCATAGTTAAAGTCCAACTTAAAGTCCATCTTAGTTTTTGTGAAACACCTCCCTGATCCAACAAGAGCACAGTGCTCCCTTGAACAGAAGAGCATGTGTTTAGACCACTTCCGCATACAGTACCTGTAGTAACACTGCTCCTTGGTGCCTGAACCCCTATGGTGGTTGTTCGGACGGATGGTGTTGCTGAGCTTGCTGATACCTGGTAGGTCTTAGAAGACATTCTACCGGAGCTACTAGCTACAGTCTGTGTGATTAGCTTCATACCTGTATAACAACGGAGCAAGTCAAAAAGAATGTTTAATGTGACAAAACAGAAATTAATGACATATCTAACTGGAACTCTGGATATCATTTTAATTACATTTACTGTATATTAAATTTCATCTAATCATATATTGACATTTTGGTACTATCTTTGCTGTTAGAATGACACACACTCTTCAGCAACTCCATTTTAGAATAACAAAGGAACAGAATAAAAACAATAATATAGCGTCACAAGCTCCCAGATCAATACCAAAACAGGCTTGATTACTCTAGATATATGAAGGGGATAGAGTCATACATGTACACTTACTATTCTAACTTGGAGTAATTTGACAGAATTGAAAATGGGAAAGTGTGTAAAGTAGTAACTGGCATCAAATCCCTAACCCTAAACAAACTCATACTATTGCAAGCATCACTTTCAATGATAAATCAATATCTTACTGCTATCCTAACCTGGTTCTGGTTTCTGTGGTACCATACCAGCCCTCTTGCCTCCTCCCATCACCATCGGTGGTGCACCGCTCCCACTGCCGGTGACCTGTGTGCTGAAGGCACTACTGGTGAGGGTGCTCATGCCTGGACCTGGGGTTTGCTGTATGATCGTGAAGGGTTTGGAGCTCTTGTGCTTGGAGCCCTTACGATGGTGCTTGGATACGGGTGGGTAGGGTGTGACCACACCCGTCAACTGATCTGTTATCAACAAATAAATACATCACATTTATAAACTCAGGTAAAAATTATTACATCCACATTACAACATGACAATAATAACATGATTAAACAATTCCAGAGTAAACTTCAGTGACATACAATTCATGATGAAGTATATCACATTTATAAACTCTGATATTATCAAAAATATTACATTCACATTACAATGCAACAATAATAACATGATACAAAACTCTAGTAGAAACTTCAGTGATATAAAACTCTGGCAAATAGTTGGTGACAGTCCAAACCAAAAATCTTTCTTGAATTGCATAGATTTTGTTTTTTGTGATTTAGTATCATGGCATAAATTTCAATCCACAACAGAGTCAAAGATACATTTTCGGTTATACAGTCCTCTGCATATAACTCTTTCCACGCATTGGTTGGCAATAAGTACAGACGCAGGACTGCTATTATCAACTTTTGTCACACACACTGTGTGCATGTATCATATGAAGTTTAAAAACATAACAAGTCCATGGTTTTCATCCATAGCGAATACAACGTTAACCACTATGACGTGCATATCATCTCAAATCTTTTACATACCTTCATAGCTCATCTGAAAAGGCGGATGACCTTCTGACATGGTTGCCATGGTGACCTTAGTGGATGCAGGCAGGCCCTGAGAGCGAGATGGGACCTCTGAAGGTGGGCTCTGGTCAGCATTTGCACTGGACATTATGATTACCTGCTGTTAGGTTTAAGGCAAAAATTAGAATGAAAAATTGCATTCCTCAAATGTTCAGTCAATAAAGTGTATGCATGTTGAATCAAGGAAAGTGGATTTAAAGTCAGTCATTGCATGTTATTGTTAAATGGATGCAGGCTGGGTTACAGTAGACAACACTCAGTCCCACAGATAGGATGTTACATGGAGGTCCCTTGGGTAGGAGCTACAGCAAATACCCACTGAGAAACGCCTGCACTCTTCGTAAAAGAGTAAATGAGGGAAAGCCCAGTATCATGACTATCAGTTATATACTGGAAGAGTGTAGTGCTTTTCCAATATTTAATCCTGATATTTTATAATGATTCTGCACTTACACTGCATTCTACACTCCATTGGGGAGAATCCCAAAATGTCACAATTTTTCCAGACACATACATCCTAATCCAGCAGCAATAGTGTACGAAGCTGTGACATCATCAAAAATAATATCCAAATGTCGAAAACCACTTGAATATGTTAAGTATTGGCTGAGATATGACCATCTGAATAAATAGTTTTCCTAAAAGAGCTCAGTGATATTTTGCTCTGTTTCGTAATGTTATGAACCAGAGCACTATAACACCGAGTTCCCATAGGAAATCTGTTTATTCAGATGGACATATCTCAGCCAAGACTTAACATATTCAATTTTTTTTTGACATTTGGACATTATTTTTGATGCTCTTTCGGGAAATGAAGGAAAAATGGAGAAATGGAAAAATAGAATTTTGATGACGTCACACTTCACCACTCTATGGCTTTCGCATTGTACCATGACTATAGCATTTGGATCCTATCTGATGGCCATTCAAGAATTGCATTAGGAACACCGGTTCCTTCTAAGAGTGAAGGAGAAAAACCCCACCTTCTGTGCAGCTTGGCTGGTAGTAGGCGTGGTACCACTTCCCACTTTTGTGAAGGTGATCTTCATGGTAGAGGGCGCTGTACTGCTGCCGCTCGTCGACCTGCCCTTTGACCTGCCCTCCGACGACGATGAGCTCTGAGAGGAGAGCTTGCCTGAGGTCAGGGCGCTGAGAAATGAGGCTGGGCTACTGGTGAAGGAGCAGGCTGAGGAGGATGATAGGTGGCGCTGTTTGGCTTGCTCGTCTAGCTGCTGCAGATCAAGTGAAGCTGGTGAAGAAATAAGGAATCACACAACTTGAACGATAGTAATACAATAATTGATATGATAGGCACTTAAATGGATGTTAAAAGTCGGTCCCCAGACGTAAATAATCATATCTGATTGATACATCATGATAAATCAATTACACACACACACATACAATACCCCAAATCTTGCTAAGCATAAATGCTGCATAATCAAAAAGAGTTTTCGAACCTTTTCTGTGCCTTAGACAGCAAGTTTGGCAACAGAATTTCAGTTTTGGATGTGTTGGAACTCAGAATGGCCAATACTCTTCCTAAAATAGAAAAGGTCATTTCACCATGAAGTTTATTTCACGTAAAAGATTTTGTTATGCCTAATCTAACAAAGAAACACAGCATCTTCAGTTATTAAAGATCTAGTGCTTGAAAGTCCACTTATAGTAATTGTCCAAAAATCCTGGTGGCTCAGAAAGGTTTGAGCTATCCTTCAGAAGACATTGTGACAAATATCTGTTAAAATAAATCCTTAACCCAAACATTGTATTTGACACAAACAGTCATTGCTGTTGAGACTTACATTTTGGCAAGATGGTCCCAGGGGGAAGCACGATATAGTTACTCTCACCAGAGCCGTCTGATGATGTTCTGGACTCGTCTCCTGGTTATTGAGAGAAGGAGAAATGAGTAAGGGTACAGGTAAAGGTGATTTGGTCTAGTGGATACATATGGAAGTAACTGCAATGTATATCATAAGATACAGGGTTCAAATCCCAGTCACATCACTTGCGTTCTGTGGCCAGATTACAGTCTACATTGGTCACATTTGACACAGGTACCATAAGGAAGAAATTCATTAAATGCCCAAAAGCCTTATCAGGGCACCAAGGCTACAGCTGGGTAGTAACTTCTAAGGTATTTTGGAAGTATATTGTGACATAATATCATAATGGAATATTATTGTTAAAGCATGAGAATGGTAGCTCAATTATCATGAAGATGCTGAACAAAGATAAAAATCCACTACATTCATTGTATCCTTTACTATCTCAAAATTTTCCAATGGCAGTCACATCGTCTAAGAATATCTTTGTTTTTTTGTTTGTTTGTTTATTTTATTTATTCACCATGTAAAATAGTTTTTTACAGATAATAAAATTCAGTGGGTTACATTGAGATATAATACATAGTAGGAACAGTACATAAACAAAAAATGTTTGAAGTGCAACGTCCCTAAGATAACATACTAGTAGTTGATAATTATTAGGTATAGATAAAACATGGCTTAAAATAAGACATTCTGTCGTTACAAACATTTTATAAAGATTGTAAACTTAGTCTTCTATAAAATTTGTTGGGGTTGGGGTTTTTTTATAAAGTGAAACTACAACTTTTTGACATGACCAAAACCAGAATTTCCTTCATCTCCTTGCATATGACTTTAGTCTAATTTATTATATTTATGGTTTATATAATCCTTGTATACCTCAGACCATGTCTTCAATATTCAAAAAAAGATTGTGCAACACATCTTCCATCAACATTGATCCTGGTCAATTTCCTGCACTTAAAAAATTCCTAACTTCAATCCTGGACTAAACAATACAACTAACCATAACCCTTCACCTACACATAATTAAAAACATTTTTTGACAAAAGCCTGGAGCAAATGTTGCTCTAGCACCTATTGGGTTGCCAAAGAAAGAAATTACCATCTTTTCTGGCCGTTTCCTCTGGATCGGGGAGTGTTGCATTGTGGGCATGTGCCATATTAGCCATTTGATTGGCTGTCATTGTGTAAGCCGTCTGAGGGATGAATCTTGGCATCAGAGGAACAAGTCTCCTGCCCTCTACCGACCACTCCAAGGAGTTGTTCTCTCCTCCAACCCTGTATTTTTGAGAATGAGAGAGAGAGAGAGAGGGAGAGAGAGAGAGAGAGGGAGAGAGAGAGAGAGACAGAGACAGAGAGAGAATGAGAGACAGAGAATGAGAGAGACAGAGACAGAGACAGAGACAGAGAATGAGAGAGAGAGAGAGACAGACAGAGACAGGGAGACAGAGACAAAGAGAGAAAGACAGAGACAGAGAGAGAAAGACAGAGACAGAGAGAGAGAGGCAAGGCTTTTATGTTTATAAGTTGAAGAATTCCTAAAAGTTTATTTGAATGAAATTTCATCTCTTCTCATTATGCAGACTCACTAACTAAATTAAATGCTACAGCAGAGGATCATTTAGACCTTTTAATAGTCCATGTGCAAAAGTACATGTTTGAAGGAGTTCTTCAGTATTCACTATAATTATAAGGACATCCACCTATTATAACAACTGACTTGTCAATCAGCTCCCTCAGAGGATATATCCAATAAACAAGCACTTGGTACAAAATTCATTGAAAGTCAAAAAGTGTGATGAACAATCCTAGCACAACAATTAATTCGCTCATTACCTCTCAGCTATTGTGGTTAGTTTCTCATCGTTCACAGCCCTCCTAACTTCAGCTTTGTGTCTCTCAGTTGATATACTACAGGGAAAAGATAGGATTAAAACAGAAAATTAGTCGTCATATGGCTGTAAGAATGTAAGCTCACTGCTTGTGCCAGATTTACCATTTGTTTCTCAGAAAACAATACAATAGGATAAACAAAATGTTCTCCTCTTTTTATAGCTTGCAGCAGTTATGAATTATCAGTATCTTGATAAACTCTGTTCAAAGATATCATCCAAACAGATTTTCTATTGTACACAAAGCATGCAAATGATTGAACTTCTTTAATTTTCTAACTTTCATACTCATTCATGTATATGCACAGATCAGATCACTAACACCTTAGACAAGCTACTCAAGTCATTATCTGATAAACTAGGTATAACCAGAATTTTGATCGGCTCTCTGGGAATAACATTGAAAATTTTATTATGATTTTTTTTTTTAAATAAATTTTTCTTCTAAATTTTGACCGATACCTCCAAATAGGCTGCTTTGAGACTAGCAATATATGCTTTACAAAACTAGAGTTTGATGAAATGTTTAAAAGTTACTCTCACCTCAGGGTCGAAGCAACACTTCTCAGCAGACTTTTCTTCTCTGGGGTGAGATCTCCCTGGGCTCTGAAGGCACTTATGACCGATGAGTAGGCCTCTAGTTCAAGCCTCCGCAATACACTCCTACACTCCTTCTCCTCCATGTCAAGAAGTCTGGGCCACATGATTCTGATGGTGGTATAGAGATTCCTTTGCCAAGAAAGCTCTAAAGATATCACATGCTGCAATCTGTATGGAGAGGACAAAGAACAATGTCAAGAACAGAAGTGAAAACATTGATAAATGTCATAAAAAATAGACTTCAAAATTTAAGATAACGCCTCAAGAAAAAATTTGTACTAAAAAGCATTGTTGGCAGCATTATGTGAAAATTCTACAGTCAAAGAAAAGAAAAAAATAATCTCATGATTGGTAATCATGGTAATGTGTAGACCAAAAATTTCTGTCTCTTTCGTTCGTTAGCCTCTGATTTGGGTAGGTTTGGCTCCGACCCTACCCAAATCAGAGGCTAACGGACGAAAGAGACAGAAATTTTCGGTCTAGGTAATGTGATGCTGCCGATCTATTGGACGCGATCTCAATAGACTAGTATCATGTTGATCAAGTGGCATTTCGGAGTCATTCCTATTTGGGGGGTATCATATGAGTAAGTTTGAAACTCAAACCAAAATTTAGCGAAACTCCCTGCCCTGCGTGCGGGAATGGGTAATTTAATTATGAACGGATGGAAGGCATTTCTATGATCTGATGATATAATGATGATTTTACTTTTTAGTTTAATTTAGTTTAAGTTAAGTTTTGTTCACTCATACAGCATGCAGTATAATACTTCTGGGGGCCCTTTCTCGAAACCAACTCCATGACAGTCATATCTTTGTCGGTGACCTACAGAGATGTCATGAAGTGGATAAACCGTTTCACAAAGCCATGACAGACATGATATCGATAAATCGCGATACTAGCAGCTCAAGAACATAGTCTTTGTCACGATCTATTTGATTTATCAAGAATAACCCAAAACAAGTTTTGGGGCTAAAATTGTTCAAAAAGAAATATATACATATAAATTATCCTAAAATAAATAATAAATAGTGTCTTTATCAAATGTAAATCATCAAACGATTTGCATATTTCTGGAAAGATTCTTAAATTGAAGAGAATGAGTGTTTTTTTTTTTACAGTCAAATCAAAAGTTAGTTGAAGGATACCGTAATGTGATTATCAATACGTACTTTTTTGTTTATTGTGACGAGGAATTTTAGGGAAAATACCTTTTCTCAGCTAGTTTTTATTCTAGAGTCTCATCAATACTCGTTATATAATTGATTTGATCTTGAAAATATAATTTGGAAGAAGTAATTACTAGAGAGGAAATAATAATGCACACATAGGTCTAGACCTAGATCTAAGTTAGGCCCCAAACTAAGGTAGGTATCCTAAGAAAAGACTATGAATCGACTATGGAAAACGGTGTGTAACATTCTTATCTCTCTTATTTATATGTTAGACTATAGTTTAATAATTTGTAATTTAATGTTTATATTCAGCTTTTTAAAGTTTCTGTATAATTTGTATAGATCCTAGTCTAGATCTAATCACTTTTTTACATTTGCATTTCGCATCCCAGAGAATTACGTACCGAACTCGTCTAGACTTTAGATCTATATTTTTCTCGAAATGATAGTGAAACTAATCGTACATTTCGTGGCCCATGGAATAGCAACAAACTGACTTGTGATGGCGCTTTACAGCAATTAAAAAGTGACAACTCGCTTGTCGCGGAAGTTAATTGTCGCTCATCTTGGCAAAGCCAAAGACGGCCTTGACTAGTTGACAAGTTGCGTGACAGTGGCGAGATGTCGTTGATCTTGTAGTTATGACGGTTTCGAGAAATGGCCCCCAGGTGAAGAAATAGATGTTAAGACTCCCTCTATTGATTCTCAAAGACCAAATAAAACAAAATTTAAAAAAGATCAATGAAATTTTTTTTTTTACAGGTTTCAAATTAACGATTTTAACTGTTTAGGCCTAGATCTAGATCTAGATCTACAGATCTATCATCATCTAGGTCTAGAAGGTCTAGATCCAGATATAGCCTTAGGTCTAGATCTATTACTTAGCCTTACAACCTGCCCGTACACACAACATCTAGGCCTAGATTCTAGACCTCTAGATCTATATAGTTTTCAGCAACAACTGAATTTATACTCACAAGATCGGTTCCGTATTTTTTTTGTGTTCCACAAGTTAGCGGTAGCTCTCCAAACCAAGCTGCTAACTCACATATTTATGTACAGATGGGGATCGGACTCTATGGAAAAGCCGCGCTCCTTGAAATTGAAACTAGTGATCAATAAGGGTCTTAATAAGGGGAAGCAAGCAACCAATAAGGGGGGCTATAGTGTCTCCAAAACAACTAATCGAAAAGGAAAACGAAAATTTTGCACATCTTGGTTGACGGTAAATTTTAATGTTTTTAAAGCTATCGTATGAAATTGCAACTAGGTAACATGCTACATAATTTCAAAGCTCAAAGACGGCTCTTTACTCACATAATATTATATTGGACATCGGTATATGGGAGCGATAATCCAAAAACATTACACTAGGAAATGGACAAAATTCGTTTTCAAGTTCGAAGATATTTTGACTAAATAATTACCAACATGACTTAACTCTCATAGAATGGCGACGAGAAGGAAAACAAAAGAAGGGGAAAAAAGGGGGGGAAAAGGGGGGAAAAGAGAGAGAGAGAGAAGGAAAAGAAGGGAAAGAGGAGAGAAAGGGAAAGAAAGAAGAGGAAGAAGAAAAGAAAAGGGGGAAGAAGGAGATCGGGGGGGGGGGCCTCGTCTCCTAGGCTGTTGCCCCCCCCCCCCCAATCAAAAAAATAAGAGAGAAGGAAGGAAATGGAAAGAAAATGGAAAAGAGGAGATAAAGCGAAGGAAATTGGGGAAGAAGAAAAGAAAAGAAGGGGGTATTAGTTGCAATTTTCCCGCCAACAAGTTGTAGATCGAGGTGGGGTGGGGCAAAAGGCCCTTGCCTCCCCGGCCCGCCCCCGCTAAAAAAAAGAGAGAAGGAAGGAAGGAAAAGGAAAAAAGGAGATCTAAAAGGGACCGAAAAAGAGGAAGAGAAAAAAACGGATGAAAAGAAGGGGAAATAGATCATTTGCGGCTAATCCCGCCAACAACGTGTGTAAAAGGGTAGGGGCCGAAAGGGCCTTGCCCCCCCCCCCCAGCAAACCTAAAAGAGAGAGAAGGAAGGGAAGGGAAAGGAAAAGAGGAGAGAAAGGGCAAGAAAAAAAGAGAAAGCAGAAAGGTAGGGGTGATCAGTTGCGATTTTTCTGCCAACAAAGTGTAGATCGGGGGAGGGGGGGGGGGGGGGGGGGGGGGGGGGGCTCGGGGGAAATACAATTTAGTCGTTTTTTTTTATTTCTAATTCCATAACGGTTGTTTACACATAATATGCTGAAATGACATAATTTTCCGAGATTTTTTCTCATTGTTTAGTATAATCCTTTTTTATGCGTTTGTTGTAAAATTACAAATTCCTAAATTTACAGCCAGGCAAGAAATATGCCTCTTGAGATGCCTACATGTCAGGGCCCGCGGAACGGCGGGGATCGGGAGCTTCCACCTCCCTCCCCCCCCCCCCCCCCCCGAATTAAAAAAAAAAAAAAAAAAAAATATATATATATATATATATATATATATATATATATATATATATATATATTAAAGAGAAATAGAAAGAAAGAGAGCAAGAAAGAAAGTTAACTGCCAGTGTCACCTGACCGTAATTAAACGCCTAAAACCCCTGAGCTTACGGGAGCTCTGCCCCCGGGACCCAACTAAGGGCCCTAAGGCGGGCCCCTTCATACTCATCTGACCATGCATAATTTAGTGCCTAAAACCCTTGAGCTACTGGGGGCTCCGCTCGCTGGACCTCACGCCAATCAGTGTCCTGCCAGTGTCACAAATAAGGTATACAAATAATTATGTTCATCTGACCGTAATCAAATGCCAGGCGCGTAGCCAGGGGGCGGTGGGGGCGGCCCACCTACAAAAAAAAGCCGGCCAAAAAAAGAGAGGATAAAAAAGGAAGAAGACGTAGGAAGAAAAAGGAGCAGACAAAAAACATTTTTGAAATTCAGACAAGGATTCGAAAACGGTACAACGATCGTCTTCTTTCTCTAATAATTTAATGAAATGACAAAGCCTTCGCGCAGGAGGGGGGGGGGGGGGAGACTGAACTGAGACAAGGATTAAGAGACGGGAACGTTACAGCGAATCGTCTTCTTTCTTAATTAATTTTAATGAAACGTCAAAGCTTTCGCGCTTTGCGCGGGAGGGGGGGGGAACTGAATTGAGATAAGAGTTAAGAGTGGAGAATGATAATATGAATCGTCTTCTTTCTCTAATAACTTAATAAAACGAAGGCTTCCGCGCTTCGCGCGAGAGGGGGAAACTGAATTCAGACGAGGAATAAGAGTCGAGAACGGTACAACGAATTGTTTTCTTTCTCTAATGATTTAATGAAACGTAATAGCTTCCGCGCTTAGCGCGGGAGGGGGGGGGTAAACTAAATTCAAACGAGGATTATTTTCAAGAACGGTACAACGAATCGTCTTGTTTCTCTAATAATGAAATGTCAAAGCTTCCTCCCTTCGCGCAGGAGGTGGGGGAACTGAATTTAGACAAGGATTAAGAGTCGAGAACGGTATACGAATCGTCTTTTTCTCTAATGATTTAATTAAACGTAAAAGCTTCCACGCTTCGCGCGCGCGGAGGGGGGGGGGAACTGAATTCAGACGAGGATTAAGAGTCGAGAACGGTACAACGAATCGTTTCCTTCTCTAATGATTTTAATGAAACGTAAAAGCTTGCGCGTTTCGCGCGGGAGGGGAAAACCGAATTCAGACAAGGATTAAAAGTCGAGAACAACGAATCGTCTTCTTTCTCTAATAATTAAATGAAACGTCAAAGCTTGCGCGTTTCGCGCAGGAGGGGAAAACTGACAAATAACTTAGTTTCTGGCCTCATGTTTATAGGGTTGAATAATATTTGTAGACATTGGGACATTGGCATTAATATATTTGTCGGTAATTGGTGGCTAGTTTTGTCGGTGATCAGTGGCCTCTACACCCCCCCCCCTCACTGAAAAAGGTGTAGCGACGCCCCTGATAACAACACAGTTTATACACTCGAGATAAGTTTTACTGCTGTAGTACCAGACCATCGTCTTTGCGCATCAGTGTGCAGCAACGAAATATTATAGGCCTACAACGTCTTGCGACGTGACAGATCACTTTTCTCTAACTTCCAATCAGAAGGCCTCGTTATTTTCCAGGAAGTGACGATGGACATTAATGCGCCAACTGTGGTTCTCAAATTGCAAAAGATCCCTACTCTTGGAGGGCCGGGGTAGGAGAAAGCAATTTTACATCGTTTTACTCCAGGAAGTGCCTGAAAATGCACCCGCCGGGGGGGGGGGGGGGCTACTCACTATATTAGGACATACGGGGATGTGCCGCTCTTCACCAAAAAAAATCCCTAAACATAAGTCCCACTTTTATCAAAAATGTAATTAAGAATGGGTCAATTTGTTTTCAAAATTTCAAAAATTTTCGGGTGGTTTTCCAAGCAAACACCCCCAAAACACCCGAAAATTGTGAAAAATGGGTCTTCTTTTCGAGGGGTTTCGTGGTTTAAGCGGCACTCCCGGTAAGAAATTTCTGGATCCGCCCCTGAAGCCAACTCGAAAACAGGAGTCTGGAAAAACAGACCCCCCCCCCTAAAAAAAGAACAACAACAGAGTTCGAAAAGATGACCATGAAAGAAGGCCGTGTCGCAGATAATAGGGACCTTTAGATGAAGTGCCACACACACGTAGCAGTCCACTATATGTCGACGTGCAAATCTAAACGTCCCTATATGACCTACGGAGGACATACTGTGTATGATCGAATCTCTTTGATGACCAGATTGAAGAGCGCCATCTAAACGCCACCACCAACAAGAGATTTTTGCACTTCATCGAAAGGGTGCGGTGCGGTGCGGCGCGGTGTGGTGTGCTCAACGCACCCATTCGATAAAAGAGGGGGGCCTTTTCTCGAAAGGGTGCGTTGAGAGCGGAGTACCGTTTTAACACACCCTTTCGATGAAAGCGGGGGGGGGGGGGGGGGGGGGGCTTTTCTCGAAAGGGTGCGTCGACTAGTCTTTCGCATCAGTCGTTTAAAATGAGGATCTCGGACAGAAGGTAATAGTTGCCAATTTAAGTATATCGAAAATGTATTAAATAAAATGGAATGGCCTTGATTACAGAGTGGTCTCTTTGATGGGGAGACAGAGAGAAGGAAAAAAGGGAAAGGGAAAGGGAAGATAAAAGGAAAGAAAGAAGAATAAGAAGAGAAGAGAGAAACGGGGGCGAAGGACTCTTGCCCCCCCCCCCCCCCCGCCAAAAAATAAATCAGAGAGAGAGAGAAGGGAAAGGGAAAGGGAAAGAGAAGATAAAAGGAAAGAAAGAAGAGGAAGAAGAAGAAAAGAGGGAAACGGGGGCAAAGGGCTTTTGCCTCCTCCCCCCCCCCCACCAACAAATAAATAGTAGAGAGAGAGAGAGAGATAGAGAGAGAAGGGAAAGGGAAAGGGAAAGAAAATATAAAAGGAAAGAAAGAAGAAGAAGGGAAGAGGGAAACGGGGGAAGGGCGAAAGGAGAGAGAGAGAGAGAAAGAGAGAGAGAAGGGAAGGGAAATGGAAAGAGAATATAAAAGGAAAGAAAGAAGATCGAGGAAGAAGAATAAAAAGAAAAGAGGGAAACGGGGGCGAAGGGCTCTTGCCTCCTCCCCCCCCCCCGCCAACAAATAAATAGAGAGAGAGAGAGAGAGAGAGAGAGAGAGAGAGAGAGAGAGAAGAGAAAGGCAAAGAAAATATAAAAGGAAAGAAAGAAGAAGAAGAAGGAAAGATGGATACGGAGGAAGGGCGAAAGGTTCTTATACCTCCCCCCCCCCCCACCACCTCCCGCCAAAAAAATAAATAACAGAGAGAGAGAGAGAGAGAAGGGAGAGGGAAAGAAAATCTAAAAGGAAAGAAAGAAGATGAAAAAGAATAAGAAAAGTGGGAAAGGGGGCGAAGGGCTCTTGCCTCCCCCCTGCCAACAAATAAATAAGAGAGAGAGAGAGAGAAGGGAAAGGGAAAGAAAATATAAAAGGAAAGAAAGAAGAGGAAGAAGAAGAAGAAAAGAGGGAAACGGGGGCGAAAGGCTCTTGCCTCCCCCCCCCCCCGCCAAAAAATAAATAAGAGAGAAAGAGAGAAGGGAAAGGGAAAGGGAAAGAGAATAAAAAAGGAA